TTGTTTTTGCAAATTGTATTGATTTTTCTGCTTGAGTTTATAAGGTCCCAAGCCGCTTTGTTCGGGTTGTGGGAATTTGTGATATAGTTTGAATTTGATTCCTTTTTAGCTTTGGTTACTTTACTCCTGTAGTCTTTTTGGGCACATAGATAGAGATGATAGTAGTGCTGCTTATCAGTATGATTTATTGCAGATTTATAAATGTCATCCTACTAATATTATAAATGAGAAAGTTTGGATGGATGGATGTATGGATGTATGGATGTATGTTTGTGACAAGTGAACGCGAAAAATACTGGTCGGATTGGGCTGAAATTTGGCATGATGATAGCTCACATTCCCGATTAACATATAGACATATTCTTATTTCAAAAATCCTTTCGGGCTCCGCCCCAGTGGCTCTGGAGTTTCCCATGTTAACCTTATGAGAAATGGAATTATTGAATATTAACAGCTGTTTCAATTAAACAAGTTGGTTCTGTTCTATGATGTTCAATAGCATTAAAGTTACAAGGATTACCAACAGGGTGCAGCACTATTATTTCTTTTACATTTATGACAACAGCTAATTTGCAACCAAAAGGTGAGTGAGCGTAGCGAACGAACTTCAACCTGGAGGCGAGTAAGCGTAGCGAACGAGCTAACCTGAAGGCAAGTGAGCGCAGCGAACGAGCTCCAACCTAAAGGTGAGTGAGCGTAGCGAACAAACTTCAACAAGGACGTGATTGAGCCATGCGAACGAGATAATCTTGAAAATTAAGAAGTTAAACGGGGCAAAGCCCGCGGGTTACAGCTAGTTTAGGAATAAAACTCTATTTCTCAGATTGGCCAGGTCAGATGTGTACCAGCTTTTGTTGTTACCGATGTACCACACATCGAGGAAGAATGTGTGCAACTTTTGCAGTGATATGTGGGCGAGTGGCTGCCATCTATGTATATACATAGTCTAGTCAGACAGGCGGTCTCACGGCTGCTTAAAATTTTATTCAGTCCAGATTTTAAACTCAAATTAGACTGCAATGTACAACTTTCCGCTAATCCATCCATGCCTGTGACATAATTGGTCAACAATTATCACCCAGACTGATTTTTGTCATTCATTTGTCAAGAATAATATAATTTTATTATGAAGGCGTATCATACTTATTTATGTGTTTTATGCAATTTAAAAAAAAATTATTTTCCCTCTATTTTTATTTTTGATAGTTTAAATATGAACTTGGACTAGGAGATATTACTTTTGGTTTGAATTTAATTTATAACTTACTGTATTGAGCGGGGGTGATATACCCCGTGATATGTTCTTTGAGGTTGACTTCAATGCAAACTTTCTTACATAATCACGTAAAACCCGCTGTAGATATTTCAGCTTAAACTTACCAAGGTTATTTTTATAGATAGTGAGAATCGAATGATAATAAATATACAAATTACAATTAGTTAATGCTAAAATAAATTAAAACTAACTTAAAATTTTCAATTTTTAACATGAGGCTTATGGGTTGTTAAGTATCTTTAAGAATTAACAAGTAAAATGTAAACAAAAGATTGCAAACCTAACATATTATGGTCGTAACGAGCCATTTACAGTATAATTAATATGAAATTACTACAGTAATTAGAGACTAAAAGAAAAAGGCCATTTTGATGAATACCATTGAGCATATAACATACCTATGGTGTATTTCTGAGCAATGGGATAAATACGACTGTTAAATTAAGTGAATGATTTTGCAGTGTGGCAGACTGCTTGATGATAGGTATCTATATAAATAAAATTAGAGTTTTGTCTGTACATTGCTCAGAATCATAAACTTTTAGGTTATTTTTACGTTTTATACATTAAAGAAGCCGAAACAAGACTGATCAAAATTTCTGTCTGTCTGTCTGTCTGTCTGTCTTTCTGTCTGTCTTTCTGTCTGTCTGTAACACTCAAGATGGCATTTTACGCAATCTTCTCCAGGAAAACGAGAGTACCTATCAAGATCCAAGTCATTTTAATGTATTCACTGGATTGGCGAGAGTGTCTTTAGCCATTAAAATATGGCCTCACTACTTTGTAAATAAAATTACGGACGTTCAAAAATGCAGTTTTGTGCGATTTTTGTCAAGTTTTCGTCCAATTTTGATCATATAATCATCTATGAAATAACGAAAAGCTGTTCGGATCAAGATTATTTTTTCTAGCTGTCACTGATATGTTTACAAATGTTGTTTACAAATACCGCAACCATTTCCGATCACGTTTTGAAGGCAAATTCCATCCAAGTGAGATTAATAACGTTTTTCTTACATAAAGGATTTGATTAATCGCAAGTGGAATAATATAGTGTAACCGTAAATTAAATTAAATAACTAAGCATCATCCAGGTCAGGAGCCAGGGATTCTTTGTGTATAAAATTGTTCTTGAGTTTTGATAACCAGAAAATAGACCTTGAATCAGTGTTGTATAGGGCTGGGAAACTTAAATTTATTAATGATCGTCGCCAATAGCTTACAAACAAGGTTTCCATTCATTGAAGGTGCTTCAATGGTGGTTGTGTAAAGTGTAAAGTAAAAAATCACAACTGCAGTGGGTGATTGTGACAGAGGTTTACGGATGATGCTTAGTTGGCTTTTCCAATGTGTCACTTTCTGTTTCTACTCACCGTGTGATGCAGTCGCTGGACCATACAGCCAATAGGCCCATAGCCCATCTCTTGGGTACGTACGCCTACCTATTTATTCATAACAACCTTTTCGACGACGATCCTTGATACCGGTACTTTTCCATAGATAGAATGGCCTACCTACTTAAGAAATAAAATTACAATGTCCAAAAATCCAACATTGTGAGATTTTTGACACATTTCCTTCTAATGTTAATAGATGTACTAATCATTGTTTAGAGAATACGTAATCTATTGAATAACAAAAAGTTGTTTGGATAAGGTTGTTTTTTTTCAAACTTGATAAGTTTACATTAAAAGTTATAACTTTTTACGAGAAAATCCAAAACCAAGAGATCAATAACTTTGGGACTAGATTAATGCATTTAATTTGGTCGGATGTACTATAGTTCTTAACTACTGTAAACGTTGGTTTTTGGTACTGGTTCTTTCCTATAGAACCGTCGGTAGCTGCAAGAATCATGTTTACGTACCAACACATCACTGTAGGCCTAATTTACAAATTAGTTATCGTTGGTGTTGCACCTTATTTATTACAGGCGTATTCAATTTAATTGATGTTAAGTTTTGCTTTTTATGTCTGGATTCCAAAATGTTAGTTTATGCTAAGAAAACGATAACGCATTTTAGTAAAACATTTATTCAGCAAACCATCATGAATTGTTGAAACGCTTTGAACGTTGTTTATGTATCAATAGTTCGTGGCCTATTTTGGTAATTTTTATTAAATTACCAAACTAAATCGTCTATAGTACTTCATTTCAAAAAGCAAGCCGATTCATTTAGCATTTCGACAGAATTTCGGGTCATCTTCGGTCTAAGCAAATATAAATTGTTATGATAAAATTTTATGACATTAACAAAGATTTAAAATACTAATTTTATATGTACTTTGTTATGCCTAAAGCGTAGCAAATTCCCTAATTAAGTTCTGTATTTTTGTGTGTATGTCTGTTGTTAACGCAACGTTGTCCTTATTTCTCAGTGTTTCACGGAAAGGACCTAAGAGCACCTTGATAATGAAAATATCAACCCGAATAAAGTGTTAAATTGTTAGGGTGGGACAGTACCTTAAATACTTTTAACTATTAATTGTGGAAAGTAACTTTCAATTATAGGCCTACCTAGGGCTATGCCTTATAGATCTATAAAGCATTTTTTTAGTTTAATCGTTGGATTTAACATATTGACCAACAAGATCCGGGTGAAATTTAATTGCGAAGCATTAATTTTGGCTTGAAACTGTCAGATACTGTATTTGCGAAGGTTTTTATATAATAGTTTTGTCAGCATATCTGAAAGTATGCAAACCAACTGCTGTGCTTAATATAAGAAGGTTTTAACTGATTACGATAAGATCCCCGTGCGTAGAACGGGCACACAGCTAGTATAAAAATATATAAGTTGCTTACTGTTTTCACAATCCATATGTGTTATTGCTCCACGGCCGTTTCGGAGATTACTCCACCAATCTTATGTATTGTATTTACATTTTCACGAGATTTCCTCATTCCCATTACGAAAACGGGTAAAAAATTATACATGTACAACATAAGACACGACACAAAAACATATTCATGTGCACGGCTTAAAACGGTCATTCAGGTTTATAACTAATCTTATGGATAATAAGTACAAATGCGTACCTCACTTATAAAAAAATTTATGTTTAAAACTTGGTATTTAGTACCATATTTATAAAAAAATTAAAATAAACTTTTGTAAATAATTAGTTCTATTGTTTTGTTGTTGTGGTTATATATATGTTGTTTTAAAATGCAGATTTGTTGTTGTTGTGTCTCTGACTGAATGTTTTTGGTTTAAACAAAGAATTTAAATTAGCTGATTTTAACTAATTGGCATATTGTCAAATCAATATTTATCTAAACAGGCTAATAAAAACACGCGGATCTACTTTAAACAGTGCAAGTCAGTAGACTTTGATCAAATCCAGTAGTATTGTACAAGTCTACAGAGACGAAATTTGAGTTTCTTACTTCAACCTGATGCGTGATCAAGCTCGACTGGCTTTCACTGCTCTGAAAGCAGAAAGCAACCCTAGTACATTATAGTTTTTCAGTGAAAACAACGAGTATCTTGGCCTCACTCGTGCCTTGGACGTGCGTCTTGTGAGGAATATCTTTCCTTTTAAAAAATTAATATCTCTGTTAGATAATCATTCATTTCCTGGAATTAACTTTAATAATCTTGAAACTTTTATTGTGGTTCAGCACTTGTAAAGTATCACATTTTATCTAATACTTCTTTATTTGATCTGACTTATTTGCCATCACATGTTTTCAGTTGTATAATGACACAATAATTTTCAGGTGGCTACAATCAACCAAGACAAGGCAACAACTACAGATCTAATAACTATGGGTGAGCATTTGTGCATGTAATGTAATTGTATCGTAGTTGTTATGATTGTTTAAATTTGATTTCTTTATCAGTCAGTCAAGGTATTTATGTAAATAATTTATCTCATTGTCCTCAGACGACTAATCTCTCTTGTTCTGTACATTTGTGCAATACGGTGTAGTAAATTCATACCTGTTTTACAAGGGCTACTTCTCTTTGGTGTTTATAAACGTTAAACGCTCGTCGAATTTCCCCTGTTGTATGAGTCAGTTCATATAGTCGAATATGGCAAACTGACCCGCAAGACGTATTGCAACTATAGTTGTCAATTGACAATTCTCTAGTTTTTTGACAAACTTGGCTCTCTCTCTCGTCCAATAGTGTTCTGGTGACTGTAGTGTTTTTTAACCTTCGTGCTGGTCCCTGAACTACACCTCACTTATCAAAACTTCTAACACTCAACTTCACCTGTGTCTTCTTGAGTTTGGCTGGAGGCTCGAACGTTTGCTGCTGCTCCTCTGACATTTTCGACTTAACTGAATAGTTGGATTAAACGGCGAGCGGCGTTTTCGCGAAAATCAGTTTGGACTTGATACCATGAGCGGCTGCTTGCCGCTCAGCTGAAGATATTGTATTATATGAACACCAAAATCCAAATCGAACCTGTATTGAATATAAAAACTTGAATGTGTTCATCGTTTTAGTAACTTAGTTATACAACTATTAAATTTTATGATGTAATTGTCTAGTTAATAACAGTATTTCAGCTTGGAAATTTTAAATATTTGATCTATTTTTTTAGGTTTCTGCAATACCCTTAGGCAGGTGTTTTAATAAAACCTGTAAAAAGTATGATTGAACTGCAACTTTATCACTCTTACTTTCACTAGTGATAAAAATTTAACCATGCGAAATAAATAATTACAAATCATATACTACATACACAATTAATTGTTTTTTTCGCTGCCTGTCAGTTTACTACACCCTTAATCTTAACAATGGCTTGGATCTGTAATTCACTGTGTTTCAGACCCGATCGCGGCAGAAACTTCCAAAGTAGAGACAACAGATATCAGCCATACCAGGACCGAAGACCCAGGGTAATTATGTCATCATAAAAATCACTGAAAAATGTAATCCGAATGAAAAAATATATGAATTATATTTAAACTAGGTGAAACCCGTCGAAATCGACGGTTATTTTCAAGGCGTAATATTAATAAATCATCTAACCGCGATAAATAGAGCAATACCTTCGTTATTTTACAAAAGCTGAAAGTTTCTCAGCAAATGCTCCCAAATCAGTTAAGAATGATCGGCGATTATGAAATTTGGATCTTGGTTACTTTGGCAACAAAAAGGTAACAAAGGTCTGAAATTTACAAATAATGTTCGTTATAGTATAAAGCTTGGTTCTTTCATATTTTCTTCAGAAGAATGTTAGAAATCATTTCCTCCATTGCCAGACACTTTGTGTGGTTTAAACCCTCTGCCAGAAACCCTTAAAACTTAGGTATGACGAAGATTAATTTTCGTCATTTTATAAAAGCTGAAATTGATATATGTTACTTGGGGAGCTATCAAAAGACGTTTTCTCAAATTATGTTTTATGGTTTTATGGTTAATTATGTTTTTTTGACAAATTGTCTATACATGGATTTAGGACATAATTTTATTACAAAAAACACGGTCGCTTAAAATATTTTTTTTAACACGCCAATTGGGTTATGATTATTATAGTATGTGTTTTATGTAGACAAAAAGATGCTGATTCATAAACTATTTTTATTTATTCTTTTTTTACGATTTCTTTTTTCTTTTTTATGTAAAAAAATATAATAAACATTTTCCGAGTTTTGTTCATCTTCACCCCGCTGTTCATCTTCACCCCGGTTTACAGTAACATTGAAAATGCTTCTTTTGGACAATTCAGTAACTCCCAATTAATGTGTCTTGTTTAAAATAATATTTACAAATTAACAGCTGTTTCATTAAAAAGTATTATCCACATGGCAAAAATGTAAACAAATTTGTCGAGATATCTTTAAACGCTTCTGGGGCAGAGCCCTAAGGGAATTTACTTCGTTTTTCTTTTGATAACTCATCTACAGATCAAGACCTTTCTTTTGACACCCCTACCAAGTTTCTACGCCCAGCCGTTCTCTCAAATTAGTATAGACAAAGTTTCCAATTAAATTTTTAGATTCCCCCATGTTAATCTTATGGGAGAAAGTCCAACTTTGATGGAAGATCCTGCACAAACTAATAAAGATATCGAAAAACTAAAAACACTTTGCAAAACTACAGATCAGGGCAATTCTTTTGACACTTTAATCATCAAAATCGGTCCAAAAATGAGGGAGGAGTTTTGTTCACAAAAATCGGCTTAGCGTATTATATATATAGATTTAAATAAATTCAATCGATCTCATGCAGCCCTTTTAAGTAAACAATAAACAGCTGTAGAAAATATGATGTTTCACAGGTTGAAAACACAAAACACAGCTCATCTCATAGTAGTGTAGTGAAAAAGGTATTACATGAATTTCGTAAATATAGTCTGATTAGAAGTATCCCTCTTGCTCTTAATATAGTAGATTAATATAAACCTATTACCTAGCGTATTAAATATATTGGTGACATAACAAATGAATGATCGTATGCTATTTTTTTTTATTTAGGGAGGCCCTAACCAAGGAGTGGCCTCGTCAAGAGACAGCTATAGTAGCAGCAGCAGCAGCAGAGGTGGCTTTGGTGGGTCTGAGAGTGGTGGAAGGTATGGAGGGGTTGTCAGCTATGGAAGTGGTCCACACAAGAGTTACAGACCACCTCCTCCACAGCAACACCACAGCTACTCTGGCGGATACTACGGCAGGAGATGAACCAACAACTTTAGTCATCTTTAATTTTTTTTTAAATTTTGTATGAAACCAGTTCAAAATAATATAAATATTTTATTTCATGGCATGATAATGTATTGATTTACATAATAAATGTGGAAGTACAAGATTTTACGAAATATATTCCTTGTTTTATTTACCTATATTTCTTTAGAATTAAAATTAATTTCCTTCCAAGAAACTTGATTGTATACCTGAGGTTCAAGTTTTTGTTTTCAGACCTTTAACTCTTCAAATTAATTTCAAATATGAAGGTTACTGGTTAGATTCCTAGATAGATTGGTTCTGGAACCAGATGTAATTTGTCATTTGGGCTATCTGTTAATGATACAACATAAGATAGACAATAGAGAGTAACAAGACCGGGGTTTGGTTGGATCCTTCCCTTCAGTAAAAAAAAAAAAAAAAAAAAAAAAAAAAAAACGGGAAATAAGCTGATAACGTGTATAGAACAAATAATAAATGAACCTACTTAATGAAGCAACTATAACTGTTTACAGGTAATATGATAATGTACTCGGTAGTGAAGGAATCAGTAAAAGTCAAATCTGTGATCGGGGGTCCAATCAAAAAGTGGAAGTCCAATGTAGACGTTTAATGAGGTTTCAAGTTTTGATCAGGCAGTAAATAAACAATGAACGCATAGTGAAAACCATAAATTCAATATTGATTGATTTTTCAGTTCCTATTCTGAGCTCACAATCTTCCTTTACACATTTGTATACCTTATTGAAATTTACAATTTAGACTAAATTCTCTTGATACATCAACTAAAGACCATAAAACACTCTCTTAAGACTTTGCAGTTTATTAAATGTTTTTCAGTCCACACTATGAGCTCACAATCTTCCTTTAAGTATATATTGTATACCTTTTTGAATTTACAATTCAAACAAAATCCTCCTGATTCAACAACTCAAGGCCAAAAACATTCTCCTACACTTAGCCGCCGCTTATTTAACTTTAAAACTTGTTCACACTTTTGTCACTATTATCTACGACCAACAAGATCGTGGTGTACTGAATTTTAGAGCCTCTAATGAATATAGAAATGCAAAATTACTCGTTATAAATCTTTGTTTGAGTTCTATTATTATCGAAAAGGTAAAAACTATAAAACATTGCGTAGTCAACGATCGCGTAAAGAGAGTTACGTACGCTACTTTACCTACGACCGTTTCTTAATTACTAAAAATCACCACTCATAACTTCCATTAGAGGTTATGTATTCGTTAATAACCTCTCATTGCCACTGGATGCAACGACTTATTGTCCCAACCACTCACTCAATGTTTAATCAAATAAATTGGTCTTAACAGCTGAGAAGTTGACGTTGGAAGTACTACAATTTTACTTATTTTCTCTAAATCTTGAACTTCATTGGTTCAAACTTGTACTGTGAAGTAACAAAACAATACGGAAATAGTATATTACGTTACTAGCCCGGTAAGTGGTTTACCGTGCGAGTACGTTAAAGCGTACCGGGCGAGTTACGTACGATACTTTACATCATAATACACAAAATCTATAATATTAAAACGTGACAGGGATTTTTTATTTCATGATTTTTGTGTTGAAGGAAAGATAATTTTGAGAACTAGGGAATGTCGAAGCCATAATTTTAGTTTGGGGGTTCAGTTTTTTAGAAATTAATTTTTAAATATTAAAAACTCTAGCAGCCGACGCCAACATTCTACTCTAGCTTTTGGTATAATATCATTTGCTTAACGTAACAGCTGTAAACATTCAGCGTTTTTGACGCAAATTCAGCATTTGGATGAAAATGAAATGGCATACGTAGAATTGACTTATTTATACTATGTGTAAGGCTATAATCATCGATACGTTCATTTATTCAGTAAGAGGATGATTGTTTATTTAAATATACATAGTAAAATACTAGATGTTCTGATTTATTATTTTATGAGTCTTAAAAAAAGCTATTTGAATAAAAGAATATTCTATAGAACTATGAGGTTATTTTATTAACTCTGTGATTTGATTATAGGAAATAAGTAAGATTCTATAACCATTGCTGTACACGAATCGAAGCTCACTAATCTTCAAAAGAAAGTTTATACAAATTATTTTTCCTACAGTCACCCGACAAAGTTGGCTTCCTTGTACTGTTTATAGTACAGAAAGCTGCTAATTGCTGCATATTTATACTTTGCCGTACGGTTTATACTTTGTCGTACGGTTTATACTTTGCCGCACATCAGGATTCCAACGAAACAACACCATTTTTGTGGTTCTATTATGCACGTAATCCGTCCTACGCTTGGAAATTGGTTGGCAACACTTAAAGATAATAATAATACTATGAGCAGCTGATTGACTATTATAACTACGATTTAACCTGTCATTTCGTGTTTATAGTTTCGGTATTTCTGAACTTTCTGGACTTTTCTTTTAAACGTTCTTAAAACATTCCTACGATCTTAATAAACAAGAAAATACCTTTAAAGCATTTTTTTTTGGCGCGGAAACCACTTCAAATTACAAAATCATACGGAACTATATTCTCAAAACGCGGAGCACATTTCTTGCCGAGGAAAAATAGCGGATTGATACGGACCGCGGGTACTACTTTCTCTGGGCACCATTTGTGTTGCCAGCTGAACCTAAAAACGTGTTGTATAGTGTTTGAAAGACGAATTATTTATATGCTTTATAGTGACTGTAGGAAAAATATAATGTGTAACACGAGTGCAAAAGGCCTTTGCTGCACTCGAGAGCCCACTAGTTACACAAATAACTATTACTACTCGACTTTTTGAGGAAAGGTTAGGAAAATAACAATGATCACATGTTTTAATTCATCTTAGCAGCTTTTTCTTTACTATAAATTTTGAACCGCTTAAACTATGCTTGAATTAATTAGTAATAGACACACTATTATATACAGTTTTAATGGACTACTCGATTCCCGTACGTAGGACGGGCTAACAGCTCGTAATTAATAAATTTTAAACGCATAACACAATTTATTTTGGACATAACATAAATTATAATATTTTTATATTACAGAAAATAAAATAGGCCGTTGCAGTTAGCTGTTTATTTCATCAGCTGACTATAGCACTGCACGGTAATAGTATATTACGTTACTAGAAAATAGGCGTTTACCGGAAGCGTATGGTAATCCCGCACTCGACTTCGTCTCGCACGGGAACGACCACACTCATCTGGTAAACACCTATCTTCAGGACTAGTAACGTAATATACTATTTCCGTGCAGTGTTATAGTCAGCTGATGAAATAAACAGCTAACTTCAACGGCCTATTTTATTTTCTGTAATATTTTAATAAGTAAATAAAATATGTGTTGAATTTTAGCTTGCGATCTTAATTTTTAAGACCTATTAATGGATTGTTCAAGCAAAAAAATACTCATAAATATTTAAAAAATTAGTTATATACAAGTATTTGACCGAAATATTGGACGCCATCTTGAATTTTGGACTTCCGATACTCCGATTTCTTTAGACTTTTTCCCCTGGTAAATGCACATAATTCTAAGTCAAAATAACCAACAAAACCATTTAAAGAAATTTTTTTAGGGTTTTCGTATGGATTTACTTGACTACATAGTTTGTTCAAACAATGGTGCAATATGACGAAAAATAATTCTACATATAATTCAAATAATTCATGGAAAATCTACATTTTCCTTGTTAGTCCGTAACCAATATGGTAACCAATAAATTGAATGTTAAAGATATTAAAATTCAAGTTGCAAATTTTAACGATAAACGCATATTCCTTATATGTATACAGCATCGCTTTAAAATATTTTTCTGAAGCTATAAAATTCCTACTAAAGCTAGGCTATAGTTAGAGCCGTTTCTTAAATCTTTTTGCTCGCAAACCTTGTTCATATATTTAAGCGATTAGCTTTTGTTTTTGTGTTCCCATGAAGCTTAACAACTCTAAAGTTTTAACCGAAACGGTGCCTATCGGTGTCGTTTAAAAACTCAATATTATCAACCTAGTGGCTGAGGGTCGCGGGTTCGACTCCTAGTGAGATCGTTTCTGGACTCTGATGCGATTCATCAATCAATGATGCTATCCAACAAAAGGTCGATTAGGATTGCATAATTGACAAACTTATAAATATATACATATCTATATCTATAATACCCCCGCCGCAGCAAACCTGCAGACTTAGCGAATTTCCATTTGCCTGATTGGATTTAAACTAAAATGTCTCCTTAAAAATATCACATTTATTCCCTATTTAAACAGAGAGTACTTAGGTTTGCTGCAACAGGGAGGGTAAAAAAGTTTTTTATGTAAAATATTAAAAGGTACTGCGGTTTAGTAAGAAATTAATGTATTTTCCAAATTTGATCAAAATTTGTTCATAAACAAGCAAACTACAACAGTTGACTTATTCTCCATAACAATAACATGGGAATTTTAAAATTACATTTTTTTTTAATTTTCTCCGTAACAATTAGGCGCATAATAACGCTTCAATATACTAAATTATTTGTTTTTTAAGCTCTACAAAATGGTTTAAAAAGAAATTGTGAAATTTTGTGTTTTTAGGGTCAAAAATGGGAAAAACCTATTTTTACCCCATAAAACCCCCCATAAACCCACTTCCCATAGTCCGATCATGCTGGTTCGCGAACTCATTCAAGTTTATCCCGCCTTACACCTTCAAACCAAATTTTATCAAAATCGGAAAAAAATTACTCAAGTTATCGTGCGGATGGACACACACACACACACATATATATATAACTAGCAGAGTACCCGTCCTTCGTACGGGGTTGGCATATAAGTTTAAAATGCTTATTGCAGTTATACTCAAGCTTTGCGTTTGCAGTGGGGGAGGACAAAGTTTGATAAAATTTGCTTCTTTAAATTGACAGATTACACATCTACCATAGCCATAATGTTCCACCACTTCACCTAAGCAATAAAGAAAAATACATTATTAAAAAATCTTAAAAAAATCACAAATTGTTCATGACATTAAAAACATAAACATGACTGTAAACAGTCCTACTTTGACAGTTCTCATTGCGCATCACAGTTTTTTGTTGTTGCTTAGTTCAAATTAGCTGTTTACATAAATGCAAAAAAAAATTATAGTGCTGCACCCTGTTG